CTTAATCATCAGAGAAATGCAAAACAAAATAACTTTGAGATTCCATCTTATACCTGTAAGAATGGCCAAGATCAAAATATTTCTTGAGAAATAACCTTTCTAAAGATCCAGTAATACTACTTTTGGGTATATATCCAAAGGATGCTCAGTTGTGCCACAAGGACATGTGCTCAACTATGTTCATAGCAGCATTGTTTGTCATAGCCAGACACTAGAAACAACCTAAATCCCCCTCTACCAAAGAATGGATAAGGAAAATGTGGTACATTTACACATGGAGTACTACACAGCATAAAAAAAAAGAATAACGACATCTTGAATTTTGCAGGCAAGTGGATGGAGCTAGAAAACATCATTTTGAGTGAGGTAACCCAGACACAGAAAGACAATTATCACATGTACTCACTCATAGGTGGTTTTTAAACATAAAGCAAATAAAATCAGCCTACAAATCACAATCCCAGAGAATTTAGACAACAATGAGGACACTAAGCGATACATACATAGATCTAATCTACATGGGAAGTTGAAAATGACAAGATCTCCTAAGTAAACTGGGAGCATGGGGACCTTGGAGGAGAGTTGAAGGGGAGGGTGGAGGCAGAGAGGGGAACAGAGAAAAATGTAGAGCTCAATAAAAATCAATAAAAAAGAAAAATTGATCATCAAAAGAGCAAATAATCCAATAAAAAATGGAGTACAGTCCTAAACAGAAATCTTTCAACAGAGGAATCTAAAATGGCTGAATGACACTTAAGTCAAAATCCTTAGTCATCAGAGAAAAGCAAATCAAAATAACTCTGAGATTCCATCTTACACCTGTAAGAATGGCCAAAAATCAAAAACACTCATGACAACTTTTGCTGGAGAGGTTGTGGGGTAAAGGAAACACTTCTGCATTACTGGTGGGAATGCAAACTGGTACAACCCCTTTGGATGTCAGTGTAGTGATTTCTCAGAAAATTAGGAAACAACCTTCCTTAAGACCTAGTAATACTACTTTTGGGTATATATCCAAAGGATGCTCAATCGTGCCACAAGGACATGTGCTCAACTATGTTCATAGCAGCATTGTTTGTCATAGCCAGAACCTGGAAACTACCTAGATGTCCTTCAATGGAAGAATGGATGAAGAAAGTGTGGAATATATACACATTAGAGTACTACTCAGCAGAAAAAAATAATGACAGCTTGAATTTTGCAGACAAATGGATAGAGGTAGAAAACATTATTTTGAGTGAGGTAATCCACACTCAGAAAGACAATTGTCATATGTACTCACTCATAGGTGGTATTTAAACATAAAGCAAAGAAAGCCAGCCTACAAATCACAGTCCCTGAGAACCTAGACAACAATGAGGACCCTAAGAGAGATCTACTCTACATGAGAAGTAGAAAATGACAAGATCTCCTGATTTGGAGCATGGAGACCATGGGAGAGGGTTGAACTGGAGGGTAGAGGCATAGAGGGGAGCAGAGAAAAATGTAGCGCTCAATAAAAATCAATAAAATTTAAAAAAGTAAAAATGCCTGACAGTGTAAACATTGGAATTCTAGAGCTCTAGAAAGGGTCAATGCAGTTCTTGATCACCCACCTATGACCGGACTGGGGATTTAGCCCTAGCTTTCTTAACCTGAGAAGAGGGAAGATCCATCTGTTAAAAGCCATGCCCGAGGATCCAGGTGTATGTTAGCAGTTTTAAAGTTTGCTCGTGCAGTCAGAAAAGATACCCAATAAAAGAGGTCCAGATTGAGAAGCCTCTAACCAGGTTCCAGTGTGTTTTATAATGTACGTAGGTTTAAGAAAGAAAGAAAAAGTGAATAGTCATAAAAATGCATAATTTATATAATAAAGTCTTTATAGAGAGAGTAAAAGGAAAAAGCCATGTAAGATGGGAAATCCACAGGGAGTCTGGATCCTGTGTAGGATTGTGTGGATTTTGAATATTTTTGATGGCTGATGGGCAAGAGACAGCTGCTGGGTGAATGGGGTTGTGAGTTGACTGCAAAACTGAACCAATATAGACACTTTAGGAAAGCCTTAACATTGAAAAAGAAGTCAAAATATGTATTTATTTAACTAGAAATCAAAACTGTATTGCAGTTTTGTTCCCACAGGAGATGAGAGGTTGTTGATTCCTGCAGGTTTGATCAAGGGAGACCTCCTGAAACTTGACAGGAAAATTTTACTTAATTAAACAAATGTAACATTTCTTTGCACTATTAAATAAATATTCTAGAGCATAAACAAAAGTATCACACCTTAAAATAATATTCTACAACACTGAGGCATCCTGAGGGCTGGGATTAAAGGCACGTGTAACCAATGTCTGGCTGTAATTTCTTTCTTTCTTTTTTTTTTTTTGTTTTTTGTTTTTCGAGACAGGGTTTCTCTGTAGCTTTGGTGCCTGTCCTGGAACTAGCTTTTGTAGATCAGGCTGGCCTCGAACTCCCAGAGATCTGCCTGCCCCTGCCTCCCGAGTGCTGGGATTAAAGGCGTGCGCCACCACCACCCGGCTGGCTGTAATTTCTTAAACTTACTGTCTTAGTCACTGTTCTATTGCTGTGAAGAGACTCCATGGCTTGTCTACAGTTGCAGAGGTTTAGTCCATTTATTTTCTTGTCATGAGCATGGTGGGATGCAGGCAGACCTGGTGCTTTTATACCTGAGAATTATACATTCAGATCCACAGGTAGCAGGAAAGAGACACTGGCGTGTGTGCCTTGAACTTGTGAAGCCTCAAGGTCCACCCCTAATGACACACTTCCTCCATCATGGCCACACCTACTCCAACAACACCACACTTCCTAATCCCTCTCTCAAGTAGCCCCACACTCTAACGAGCAGGCATCAAATAAATGTATGAGCTTATGGGGGCCATTCCTATTCCAAACCAGGACACTTACTGTCCATGATGCTCTGACTCCTTACTCACACATAGGAGTCTTTGTTTTTTTTTTTTATTTTGTTTTATTTATTTATTTATTAAAGATTTCTGACTCTTCCTCGCCACCGCCTCCCATTTCCCTCCCCCTCCCCCAATCAAGTCCCCCTCCCTCATTAGCCCAAAGAGCAATCAAGTTTCCGTGCCCTGTGGGAAGTCCATGGACCACCCACCTCCATCCAGGTCTAGTAAGGTGAGCATCCAAACTGCCTAGGATCCCACAAAGCCAGTTCGTGCAGTAGGATCAAAAACCCATTGCCATTGTTTTTGAGTTCTCAGTAGTCCTCATTGTCCACTATGTTTAGCGAGTATGGTTTTATCCCAGGCTTTTTCAGACCCGGGCCAGCTGGCCTTGGTGAGTTCCCGATAGAACATCCCATTGTCTCAGTGTGTGGGTGCACCCCTCGCGGTCCTGAGTTCCTTGCTCGTGCTACATAGGAGTCTTTGGACATGCTCTATCAGGTTGAGACTCTTGAGACTCCATGTCATGGAGGTTGACAGGCACATATTTAGATAATGTGTGTGGTTTTCAGTGTTGGCAGAGGAGGACTTGAACCCTGAACATGGTAATCGACATCTCACTCTCAGATGATGAAGCTCCACTGTCTTAAAGACACAACTGCATCCCCCCCTCTTTATATTACATGTGTGCATCATTGTGTGTTATAAATGGTTCTTCTGTTTCCACAGCACTGCCTGTGCCAAGTGCCAGGCCCCCATATTAGTAAATGCACTGGAGTCCTCTGATTCCAAGGGACCACAACCTCCTTGCTTCTGCAATCCTTGTCCTATCAGGACCTGGAGTCCTGCCTGTTCCCAGCCCTGCTGTGTGTGTGTGCTGCCTTTGACACTTGCTCTTCTCCCTGACACTAGGACTTTGTGGTAATCCTAATCATTATGTAAATAGTGATACAAACAATGTTCTCATTGCCTGTTAGAGCCTGCATTTGAGATTATTTCCTTATGACATTTGTAGGAGTAGAAGGACTGGGTTAAGGGCGGTAACACAGGCAGTGTGTGAGGACACTCATTCCTTCATTCTGACCAGTCCTCAGGAGTCTTTGCGGGTGGAAAAAGACTTCATAAAGAGAGAAACACGCACTGCACTGGGATTGCCTGAAGCTGAGGAAGGAAAGAAACATGTTTAGCAGTGTGGGTCGAAGGCATCAGCTCCTACTGGGACCTGACCAAAACGAGAGTGAATGACCTGTTGGTGTGGGAAGAGCTGAAGATACTGGCGGCTCACTCTCAGGACTGCACTCTTACCTTGTAACCAATGGCTAAGTGTTCTTCCCAAACCCTCCAAGTGTGTACACAGCCCAGGCTGCCCTCAAACTCACTGTGAAGCCTAGGAGAATCATGATCTCCTAATCTTAGACCTGCCTCTCCCAAGTGTTAGGATCCCAGTTTTGTGCCCCTCCCCCCATTCGAGCCTTCTCATACTCACATGAATTTATAATGAAATAAAGAATATTTCAAAAACATAAGAGCCGGTCGGAGTCTGAGACAAGGCAGGTGCTGTGAAGTCCCCTCCCCGAAGTGAAAGCCTGGGTCAGCTCTTCAGGGCAAGAATCATACCTTTTTAATAATGCTAACAACCTGACTAGGATCAGAGTGACAGGGGTGGAGTCATCTCACCAATGTCAGGTTCACAAAAATCATATTAACACGGAGATGCATCTTAAAAATAACTTACTGGCCCAAGACTGTAAACATCTGGAAGATGCCCATTGGTCCAGCTGTGAGTACACATCGCCACTGTAGCTGTTGGCTGCGGAAGGTTGTGGAGTTTTGTAGAACAGATAACAACACTCATCCAGGACTGTATTATGCTCAGATGGGGCCATAGCTACCCACACGTCCAGCAGGCAAACAGCAGAGTGAGTTCATGGAACCCTTTGCCAGGGTGTGTGGTGCAGGTCAGAGTAGCTTGCTTAAGGCCCAAGTGGGGTAAGTTTGGGAGAAGTGACATCTGTACTAGTCAGGTTCTCTAGAGTAACAGAACTTACAGAATCCATCTCTCTACATGGAAAGGGGTTTATTAGAATGACTCACGGGCTGTGGCTCAGGTAGTCCAACAGCGGCTGCCTACGAATGGAAGGCTGAAGACTCCAGACGCTGCTCAGTCCACAGGGCTGGATGTCTCAGCTGATCTTCAATATATGCAGGAATCCTGAAGAAGAAGAAGGCTGTAATGCTGGTGAGGGATTGGATTTGTTAGCAAGGTGAAAACAACAGGCAAAGATCACCAACTTCCTTCTTTTATGACCTTATATGGGCTTCCAGCAGAAGGCGTGGCTTAGAGTCAGGGCTTCCTTCCACAATAGATCTGTATTAAAGACACAGCTTCCCACTTTAAATATCTGACTAAGAAGTGAATCTCGTCACTTCAAATTAAGCAAAATCCCCTCACAGGTGTCTCCTACATTTGAGTTTTAATTTAATTCCAGATGTAGTCAAGTTGACAACCAAGACTAGTCACACACCACTCAACCAGAGTCCACGAACCCCAGGGAGTGCACTGCCACCAAGACACAGAAATTGTTTTAGGAAATAAACACTTTTGGAAACTTGTGGTACAAAGTTTGAAACATAGCTTCATTGAGCAAAGCTGACTGGGAAGTTTGTGTGTGCCTGTGTTTATGTGCACTGTGTGGGATACTGTTTAAATTAGTTCAAGTGAAAACAGTTTATATGTTAACCATCTGCACCCTGAGTCATTGACTGATCTGGGATCCAGGATTTGGGGCCTGGCTTCTTCCCTCTGAGCATCTCCGGGATCAGAGACAAGCTCCTTCTTCCTGGTACCCACTTTCCCATGGTCTCTGCGGCATGTGTGCTGGCCATCCAGTCCCCAAGGAGAGCAGTGCCCTGGTATGCATGAGCAAAGCAGCCATAGTAACTTTGTTTATCTGACGAAAGAGGGAGATTCCGAGAGGGAAAGTACTGTGCATGATGTCACACAGGTGATTCTGACTTTGTGTTTTTTAATAATTCCAAGGTTTCTACAATGCTCTTTGTTTGTATAAACACATAGCTTGCCCCTCCCTTGACTGTGCCCTTTGATCTCTCAAACACACAGCCTATGCACTGTTTACAGGATTGTGCACCTTGCCCTCCCTGTCCCCAGGCTGGCACTCTCTCCCACTCCACACACAGAACAACCTTGGCCTTCTCTCTGCTGCCCCATGGACTGAAGAGAGGCTGGCTAAGGCCAGGGGGTGCAGGCTGGACATCCACTGACTTCCTTCCTTCTAGTATCTGGAACAGGACACTCTTTTCTGGGTCTCAGGTTCCACCGTCATACTTGGCACAGATACACTCCCATGCTAGGGCTCATGATTCTGTGGAAAGGAGACTCTGACTGTGCACACTTGCTCTGTCCACACTCAGCCTCTTGCCCTGAGCCATCGGGTGATTGATACGTGGATCCTCTTCCTGAGGATCTCAGAACTGCAATCCCACCTGAGGTCTTTCTCTGGAATATCATCACTGCCTCCAACCTTGTACACGGTACTTTGTGGACAAGCTGTGCCCACGGGCTCTTCCCTTCCTCATGTATTTATTCTTTTCTCTATGTCATGTGGACAGCAATGGAACGAGGCCGCCATCACACTCCACCCAGAAGGGAGCAGAAGATCAGCTCTATGAGTCCGTCCTGAAACTTGTCAGGGTTCTTAAATCTTCTACACTTTTTTCTCCCAGAGCACTGTACTCGTCATAGAGAGATAGCAGGGAAGAAGGCGAGGTGTGAGGTCATCGTGATTGTCCCCTGGGCTGAATAGCAGACAGCGTGTGTGTTAATAGAGCTTGTCTCTGGTTGTATCTGAATTTGCAGAGATTGTTCTGGAAGGCTCTGACTTGATGAGTGGTTTAACTTACCGAATGAGTAGAATTCTGGAGTCTATTAGGAAGTGGGCTACACTTATAGACCATGGGTCACTCGGAGCATGTCATCAAATGCTGTTTCTTGACTGTGTCACTTCCTGTCACTCCTTGTTGTTTTCTGGCTTCCATGTGGTAAACACTTTCCTTTGCCATGCCTGCCCCTCCATGAGCCACAGCTGCAGGCACAGTTCTTGTTGCCTGTCACTCGTGTTGGGCAGGGACAGACCTGGTCACAGCTCCTCCTCTGCGCTGTCCTTTCTTCACCCTGTCCATCTCCTCACTACTTTTCTGTGATCTGAGCCTCACTGGTCTCTTTACATAGTTTTTTCTTTCTTAAAGTGCTCTTTTAATAACTGAGATACATTATTACATTACATAATTTCATTTTAAGTTTTTTTAAAATGTACTCTATTTTGAAAATATTCTTCTACCTACTAGACTACTTTCACCACCCATAAAGTTCGTGTATCTATGAGAGGTCACAATGAGCCATCTCAATTCTCTCCCCACATCCACCATGGCCTATTTTTCTCTTTCATAAAGGAAGGTGTGTTCCTACTTGGGCAGAACTGTGGAAGTGAGGTGGCCCTGAATTGGACAACTTCAGGGAGCTATCTGGACACTGGACACTGGTCGCATATAGTGGTCATTCGTTCGAAGGGCTATGATGCAGTGGTTCTGAGAGGCCTGAGAGCCTGGAAGAGGGCAAAGACAAAAGCACAGGCTCATCAAGTAATCTCTGTCCCTAAGCGCCAGACTGACAGGGTGAGGAAAGAGGACAGGGTTCACGTCAAAGATGTGAGTTCTGGTGATGGCTCTTGTGTTTGTTAAAGAACAGATGCTGAGCAGCTGGCACACTGTTCACTAACACGGGCACATGAGCACCACAGTAGAGAGGACGCTATGAACTTGGATACTGAGGAGCAAGTACTAGGCAGCTCAGGACATAGGTAGGTACCAAGTTCGTCCAGGACTCTGTTCTGTCTCTGTTCTGCTCCCCCAGGGAGATGGTTACATCCACACCAAACTTTCTCTTAGCCAGACATTCCAGTCCAAGGAAGAACAGAGGGGCCGTGGAACACAAGAGTGTTCTAACAGACAAGACTTCGAATACACACAGGACATCTCTTAGCCCAGTGTTTAGAACTTGGGAACAAGGGCCACTTGAGCTGAAAGGGAGGAGGGGACATGGCTCCATGATACAGTCTCACGGTGCATCTGTGACCAGGAGGGAAGGGCAACAAAGAGAAGGAAAAGTTTCTTAAAACATGATAAAAATCAGGAGGCATTTATCAACTTTTTTTTTTTTTTTTTCCGAGACAGGGTTTCTCTGTGGCTTTGGAGCCTGTCCTGGAACTAGCTCTGTAGACCAGACTGGTCTCGAACTCACAGAGATCCACCTGCCTCTACCTCCCGAGTGCTGGGATTAAAGGCGTGCGCCACCATCGCCCGGCCACTTATCAACTTTTTATAGTCAACAATTTAGAAAACATATAATATCATTTGGAGAAAACACAAAGTCTGACAGGTCAGGGTTTATAAATTTATTCTTCAAATATTTTGGAATAAGGCTAGCCTTCCAATGCTTCTCAACAGATCTCATCTAATTGCAGCAGAGTTTAAACTTCAAGGGAATTAAACCTTGTCATTTCCCTCAGTCTGTGTCCTCTCTCTCTAGCAGGCACTGCTGCCACAGGGGCATTGCTGTGAAGGGATCCAGTCAGGGCCTCTCATGTATCCATGGCACTCTTCAGGGCAGCGCCTACCTCCAGTTCTGAGCGTCACTGAAGAAGAAAAAGGTCACTGAGTCAGGCTATAATGAACCCAGATAAGCTCCTGCAACTTCTGTTCCAGTTCCTGAGCCTGCTGCTGCAGCTTTGCAGCAGACTCTGCCTTTGCACCCTCCTGTAAATGCGTTGAGTCTATTATGATACTGACCATATCTAGTGCAAGGAAGAAACCTGCAGTCGCTACCCCCATGATCCAGGCTCCTTTGATCATTGCCAGAGCAGTGCTTCCAAAGGTTTTCTCCACCTGTTTAGTGCTCTGGGTTGACACCCTCCCTGTATTTATGAGATACTTGGCATTAATTGCTAGGCGAGGTTTGGCTTTGGTTAGCTTGATGGCATCAATGCTCTTCTTTATGACTTCCAGGTTCTGGAAGGAATTCTTAGATACAGAAATAAGCCTGGGGGTGCTCTTCTCCACAACTTCTTTAATTGCCTTCACTGTGTCATTGCTGATTGACAGAAGCTCACTGGCTTCAGCTTCTGCCGACACCATGCTTACCTTCTCCACAATGGTTGCGGAAACACTTGTCACAGCTGCTGCTGCTCCAAGCCCCAAGGCTGTGGCTGAAAGTCCCAGACTGAATTCTGCCATCACAGGAGCCAGAGCGAGACCAAGAATTGTCAGGACCCCAGACGCAGCACTGGTGGAGCTGGCCACCACTTGTGTGATGGTGTAGTCCCTGTGCACCTTGTCAATCTTGTCTGCAAGGGCGTGGAGCTTCCTGATGCGCTCCTTGCGCTCCAGTTTCACTTGAGGACAGGCATCTAAAAAACTTTTCCTCTCTTGCCGGTCATTTTGGAGCGCGTCTTCATCTTCTACATCCGGATCTGGAATGACCTCAGCAAGAGCTTCATGCAAGGAAGCTTCCTCTTCCCTGTATCAGGAGAGACTGACTGAGTGAGGGAGAGAGCTTATAAGATAAGCTCACTCAAATGCATGAAGTATACATGCATGCACGCACACACACACACACACACACACAATACACACACAAACTAAAACCAAAACTTTTTGCAAAAGCCAGCTTTCAGTGAACTGCTGGGCACATACTACGTGCTGTCCATATGCTGAGCCCCCCACATGCATCCTCTTCTTTTTCTACAGCGAAATTCAATGGCCCCCAAATGAAGCTGAAGGAAATAAACCAAGTTCTTATGGACACAGGAACAACAATGGAAGAAACAATCCCGTCCCCTGTGACTGCCATCTCCCCTTAACCAGAGCCCGTCTCCTGCTAGTGATTAGTACTGAGGAAATATTTACAGAGAAGGGACACCCTGAGCCCCAGTTACTTGGTCTACCTGAATAGAGAATTCCTGCCCAGAAAAAGCCAGTGACACATGGCTCTGCTGGCTTTGCTAGCATCCCTAGGGAGGTGACCTGGACAAACCAGCTTCTTTCACTAGCTGTTTCCAATCTTCCTCTTTAGTCAGTAGGAGCTGCAGGGCCTCTGTGTCCATCGTGTCCACAAGGTACTGAAGCACACACTCAACGAAGCCTTTCCTCTCTGGATGGGAAGGAAAAAGAATGTGGTTAGAGGACCATGCTAGAGAACTCGAATAACATCAGGAAGACACTGGTTAAATATTTCTGAGCATCTGTCCCTTGAAGTATACTCTGGTGTCACTAGGGATAGAGGCTGAGTTGTGAGCTTTAGCTCATTTGTAAAAGCCCCAACCCAGGCGACTGTATTTGGACATCTAGCCATTAAGGAAACAAAGCAATGGAAATAAGTGAGGCCATGAGTGAGGTCCCCAATCCACAGTGTCAGTGCCTCATAGCAATAGGAAGACACTCCCTCCCTCCCTTTCCCTCCTTCTCTATCTTAAACCTGCTCCCTTTTGTCTCTTCCCTTGCCTCTCTTCCTCCAGGCACATAAGAGAGCCCATGGGCTGGTAGAGGTACAGGCTCCCTCTCTCTACCAGGAAGAGATGAACACTATGGCTCAACCTGCTGCACTTTGATTGCAGAAATTAGATTCCAGGGCAGTGAGAGAAGAGGTCTTTTCTTTTTAGGCCACCTAACCAGTGTCATGTTGTAATGGCATCCCGAGAAGACCAATGTACCAGAGTCGTACCATGGTGCTTTGCAGAGACAGGTATTGTCTTCAGGCCAGAACAAGCAGGAAGTGAGTCTCCCATCCCCAGGAGGATTCCAGTGAACACTTCCATTTACTGCTGGTATGGTCCTTGAATGTGACTTTTCCTTGATTATTATTTTATGTATGGGAATATTTGTCTGCCTGTATACTTGTCTATGCACCATGTGTGTGTATGGTCTCTAATGTGGGTCTTCATTCCCTGGAGTAGCAGTTACAGATGTCTGTGAACCTGCTAGGGTGCTGGGAACTGAACCCATATCCTCTGCATGAGCAGCAAGTGCTCTTCACCACTGAGCCACTCTCCAGTCAAAACATGACTTTCCACACTGGAATGGTTAATTATTAATCCCGAGTTTCACCTCAGCGGATGATTAATATGTATGAGATCATCCGCCCTTCCCTATGCAGTCTGTGAGGAGCGTCCAGATATAAGTAGAGCAGGGGTGCTGGGAGCGAATGAGTGGTTCAAAGACTGAGCTGAGGCATCATGGGAAGTGGGGCCTGGCTGGAGTCAGGTGGGCACCTGGGATGTGACTTTGGGACTGGTAGGTGTCTTGTTCCTTTCTGGTTACTACTTTGTCTACTTTTTGTGTGCCATGATGTGAGCTTCCCAACTTGTCTCCCTGCCAGGATGGACCAAATCACAGAACACTGTAAACAAAACAAATCTATCCTCATTGGTCAAAATATGCTGAAAGTGAGTAGCACTATTTTTTTAAAAAAATTCAATAAATGTACTTTGTTGTTTTGCTTGCATGTATGTCTATGTGAGGGTGTCAGATCCCTTGGGACTGGAGTTCCAAACAGTTGTTTGCTGTCATGTGGGTGCTGGGAATTGAACCTGGATTCTCTGGAAGAGTAGCCAGTTCTCTCAACTATTGGGCCGTCTCTCCAACTCTGAGTAACACTAGTTTTAAAAACTAGCTTTTAGTGATTGATTGAATGAATGAATGAATGGTCTACTGAGTCAATAGAATTTTAAAAAAGAAATGGAGGTGGCACAGTGATGCATGACTTTAATCCCAGCCCTTGAGAGGCTAAGGCAGGTGGATCTCTGGGATTTGAGGCCAGGAGAAGCCAGGGAACACAGTGATTTGGGGACTGGTGTGGATCAGGTTGGTGTAGGGTGATTCCTGAGTGTAGGCTGTTCCTAAGCGTAGAGTGGTCCTTGAGATAGGGTGTTCCTAGGTGTAGGGTGTTCCTGTGTGTGTGTGGTGGTCCCTGGGTGTAGGGTGGTCCCTGGTTCTAGGCTGGTCCCTCTTTGTAGGGTGGTTCCTGGGTGTAGAGTTTACTTCGTCAACTCCTTCTCTCCCTGCCTCCTCTTCTGGCTTCCATTTTTTCAGGCTGGGTATTGAGAAGATACCTTTTGAATGCACTTCAAGACAAGGCTAGGAGGGAGGCTGCTCTGACCCAGGACTGGGGAACTCTCTGCTCCCATTTGGGGTTCTCCTCCTGCATCTTTGACTCCTCAGCAGGCCTCAGCATAGAGGCCCTGGAGTCCTAGGCCATGAGCAGTAGCAGAGAACAGACTGATTACCTGAGGAGCCCATGCCAGCTGCTGGGTCTTGGTGTCACTCAGAGGATCCTGAGAGGTTTCCTTACAGCTCACTGGATGCCAGGCTACAGGAGTAAATAACAACCTGTGGGACAGAATGGGATAGCTGCTGTGACCAGGGATCTGGTGACCCAGTTCTCTCCATGGTGACTGCCAAGGGCAGAAAGAACTGAACCCAAAGCTTGTCTGCTCCTCTGGACTCTGTGACTGCTATTTAAGGAAGCCTGTCCTGTGGTCCAGCCCTGCTGCCCTCTGTCCTGGCAAGGAGGAGGACTAATGGCATGCTGGGACAGTGGAGAAGGTGGCAGCTGAGGACACAGCTGTGGAGAAACAAAGACCCTGCACATAGACTGAGAGATGGAGAGGAATGTTCTGGTAGCCACCTGGGTGTGGGAACCATGTTTGTATTGATGGTCACTTCCTTCCTTCCTTCCTTCCTTCCTTCCTTCCTTCCTTCCTTCCTTTCTTCCTCCCTTCCTTCCTTCTTTCATTCCTTCTTTTCCCTTCCTTCCTTCCTTCCTTCCTTCCTTCCTTTTTCTCTCTCTCTTTCTCTTTCCTTTCTTTCTTTCTTTCTTTCTTTCTTTCTTTCTTTCTTTCTTTCT